GGGGGGGGCGGGCTGGCTCCCACTCGGCAGCTCCCAGGAGTCTGGAGTAAAGAAGGGGCGTAGGCGCCGGGATCCTGGGGAGAGAGTGGACTGCCCCAGGTCTCCCAGACACCAGAAGTGTGGGGACCCTCAGGAGGTTCATTCCCTTCCTCCTTTTTTTATGTGTTGTTGTAGTTGTTAAGAGTTTCCAAGGCTGTAAATCTTGACGGGAGTAGAAAGCCTCATCGTTCCCCCGCGAAGCGGCTGGTAGTTTCGAACTGCTGACCTTAAGGTCCACAGCCCGATTCGTAACCACTACGCTACCAGAGCTCCTCCCTTTTTTTATAGGGGCCATTAAATCTCCACCCTCCCAACCAACTACTCCAGATAAGCACTCATGTGATTACATCTGGCTTGATTTGCCAAGTGCAGCATCAAGATGAGCCCCCGACTCAACTCCATATCAGATCACAGCCCTCCTAAGGCATTCTCGTACAAAAAAATGACCTAGTAGATTCAGGTTCGAATCCACCTCTTGCCAAGGATTCTCTGTGTTACAATGAGTCACACCGACTGCAGCTCTCTGAATCTCTGTTTTCTTCACCTGTGTAAAAGGGACGTTGAGTCGGAATCCACTCGGCGGCAGTGTATAAAGAGACACAGGCACAGATCCGGGCCCTAGGGGCCGTGACTTTATTTGTTATCCAAAGACCCCGCACCCTACCCAGGCTTTCTCTCCAGCTGGTTCAGAAGACTCGCACCGACTCCAGCTGCACGTCTCCGCCCACCTCCAGCAGGCGCACGCGCGCCAGCGGCAACCGGTGCCGGAAGAGGTGATATTCGGAGTCCCCGACCACCGCCTGGAAGGGCAAAGGGTCCACGGTTAGAGGCGGCGCATCCCACTGTGACACACTCTCTGTGTGCCCCTGGACACGTCACGAAGCCCCACTGGGCCACGGTTAATTCTAACCTCTCGTTTTAATGAGTTTACAGTTTGGCAAGTAAGTGCTTTTTAAGTGTTTGTGATCACGACTGTTATTTTTTAATTGGAGTCCTGTGGGTTAATGAGCTGGACTGCAAAGTCGATTTGATCCGCACGGTCGGCGGTTCAAGCTCACCAGCCGTTCCTCAGAAACCCTATACGGGGTCGCTATGAGTTGGAACCAACTCGACGGCACTGGCACTTAACAACAACTGCTTTTATGGGGTCCTGGTGTGGCGCTGCAGGATAAGGGACTAGACTGCAGGGTCGGTTGGAACCGCAAGTTTGGCGGTTCAAACTCACCAGCCGCTCTTCAGAAATCCTATATAAGGTTACTATGAGTCGGAACCGACTCAGTATTTAACAACAATTGTTTTTATTACACTGTCCACTTTCAAAGCGCAAATGCTTCAAAGCAGGGATGTCCTCAAGGTGAACGGTCTGGGAGTGAGAGTGTTGGAAGCGACCCCTCCCCTGGGACGTCTTTCTGGACCCTGTCTCCCAACCCACCCTTTCCCAAACCACAGAGCCCTTACAACGGAGAAGGGGGTGGAGGTAAGGAATGGCTAGTCTGGGGGATACAACCCCTACTAGGACACCCCTTTGGCGCTCCTTTCTTGTTCATCTCGTCCTTGAGTTGCAAAACTGCCTGCCCCTCCGGTACTGGTCAAGGTAGACGGAGGTCTGGCGATGTCCGTTCCTGACCTTGGCCACACCTTTGAGCCCCACCCCACCCCACAGGCCATCCCCCACCCCGTCCCCCAACCCTCTTCAGGAGGCTCCTAGGTCTTGGCGCTTTTCCTTCCCCCAGTCTCAGAGTCGCACCTTGAAGCCCTCGTCGGTGGTGATGAAGAGCACCTCGAAGGGTTTCCCGCATTGGAAGGGAACACCTTTGCCGCGCTCCTCGCGGCCCCAGGCGCCTTGCTCCTTGGTGTTGAAAACCACCTCGGAGCTGTCCATCCGAGGATTGAAATGCAGCGCAGCGTCAGCATCCTGCCCCTCGCTGCATAGCAGGTTTACATGGAACCTGGAAACAAAGGGGTGGGATGCGTGCGGGGTGAGCGTCAGGAGCTGGGGACTCACTCAACTCAAACCAAAGTCAAGAACCAATGGTCTGGCACCCTCTCATCCCAGAACATCCCCAAATTTACAGGGCCAGCTGCTCCTTGGAAACCCTACACAGGCTCACTGTGGGTCACAGCACTTCACAACAACAACAAGGCCATCAAACCCCATGGAAGGAAGTGGCCAGATCACCAGGGATCCTGCATTCCCAAAGAATCCAAATATTCATAGAGGGCCCAGGTACACATCCACCCAGACCAGGAATCCTCTCATTTCCAAAGGGTCTGGGTATTGATGGTCAGGATACCCACAAACCCTAGAGGGTCCCCTCTTTCCAGAAGGCTAGCAACAATAGCCAGGGACCCCAATACTTCCAGGGATAATTGCTCCGCAGAAGGCTTAAGTTCCCCAGACCCAGGAAATCATAGGATTCAGATGCCCAGGGCACCTAACAATCACCAGACACCTCCATATTTCCACAGTTCTTGCTTGGGAAGCTACTCAGAAATCATTTGTTGTTAAGTGCTGTTGAGTCGGTTCTGACTCATTATCGACCCTGTTTCCAAGGAGCAGCTGGTGAGTTTGAGCCAACAACCTTTCAGTCCAGTGCTTTATCCTACAAGAATTTAAGGGAGCTGAGGCTGGAGGGACCTCCCATCCCTCATGGTTGGAGTCTGGAGTCTCACCTGCCAGCTTTGGCGGGGACTAAACCTCGGATTCTCAGCACCGTGCCTGCTCGGATGCCCTCAGGCAGGGAGGTCTTGTGGGGAACGGTCTACAAGAGAAGAGGGTGTAGGGTGCTGGAGTGAACCAGAGAGACCAAAGATGGGCCAGAACCAGGACAGAGACCAGCAGAAAACAGCAAGAAAGAAATGGAAAGAAAAGGAAAAGACTCAGAGAGAGGGAAAGAAGAGATGGAGAGAGAAAGTATACAGAAATGCAAAGGAGAACAGAAAAAGGTTCAAACATGGAGAGATGGTGACCACAGAGAGGGAAATGAGAAGTGGGCCGAGGTGGGGAGGGGCTCCCACAGTTCACAGTGCCCCATACCTACTAGCTCTTTTGCAACAGCAAGACCTCAGTCTGCCCCAGCCCCCTCCCCTAGCATAGCCCAGCCCAGTCCCTCAAGGCCCCCAGTCCCCCGGGGGTTCCTGCAACACTCACAAAGCTCTCTGCCATGGCTGGGATGGTGGGACAGGCAATGGAGGTGGACAGTGTGGCTGGGAGGCCCTTAAGAAAAAGCGGGGTGGTGCTGGCCAGGTGACTCACCCCCTTCCCCTCCCACCGCTTCCCCGCCCACCACCCACAGTTGGCATAAACCCTGGGGCCCTGGGGCCAGGGTGGCTCATCACCACCTCCTGGGGTCCCTGACACACCTCCACTCACCAGGGGTTCCAAGCTCTCCTTGGAGCCAATAATACTTAAAACAGAAATAGTACCAATGATAGTAATAACAGAGAATGCTCATTCTTCCCACTGCCTGGCAGAGAAACAATATGACCATTGTATACAAAGGAAAGTTGAGGCCCAAGAGGCCAGGCTGCAGAGCCTCCTGCCTGGAGCTGCGGAACTATCGTCACCCAACTACTAGCTTCTACCTCTATAATCATATCCACTAATAATAGGATTTGAGTTCTGAGAGAGCCGGAATTTTGCCTAATTTGTTCATCCCTGTATCCCAGGTCCCTAAAGCCAGGCTCAGTAAAAACCCCACTGCCATGGAGTCCATTCCCACTCATAGCTGCCCTTTCCGGAGCAGACAGCCTCACCTTTCTCCCGCAGGACACCTGGTAGGTTTGAACTGCAAAACTGGTGGTTCGCCATTGAGTGCTTAGTAAAGGCGGGTAAAATGAAGCAATAAAACAGAATAACAACAGCTTCCAATTTCTAAACCTGCCCAGGGTGTGCAAGAAATCTCTGTTACTCACATCAACCCATGAGGTAGGGGTAGTGGCCACACCCCATTTTACAGATGAGGATACTGAGGCTCAGAAAATCAAGACTTGTTGCCATGGAGTCAGAGTGATTCCAATCATAGGAGACAAGAGTATTTAAGTCCCCGTAAACAGGGGCAAATGAACCAGTAAGCAAGCTTGAATGAAGCGATTTAACACATGAACTTAATTACGATTACTGCTAACCTGTGGGGAGCAATTGCACTTGTGTTTCGGTATATTTTTGGCATGGTGGGGGACCGGTGAAATTCTGCACTGTAGATTGGTGGTGGTGGTGATGGTGGTTATGTGCCGTGGAGTCAGAACCAACTCATAGCGACCCTGAACAGGGTTTCTGAGGCTGTAAATCTTTATGGGAGTAGAAAGCCTCATCTTTCTCCCGCGGAGCGGCTGGTAGTTTCGAATTGCTGACCTTAAGGTTCGCAGCCCAATCTGTAAGATTGGTGGGGAGGCACAATCGGACCCAGGCATAATTATTGGGTGCTCTCACCCTGCATAGGGTTTCCAAGGCCATGAGCCCTGGTGTGGTACTGTCAGATACCCCCAGGTTGGTGAGTTCAAACCCACCAGCTTCTCTCATAACCCTGACTCAATGGCACTTAACAACAACAATTAAGGAAAGTTCACTGCTACATCTTTTTCCCACAAGAAAAACTAGTGGGTTCTAATCACCGTTTCCGATTAGCAGCCCTGAGCTTTAACCGCTGTGTCGTGAGGGCGCCTGAGACTCAGAACCGAAACGAAAACAAAACCCCTGCCATCGAGTCAATCCCAACTCATTTGTTGTTGTAAGTTGTTAACTATCAGAGTTGGTTCCTACTTACAGTGACCCTGTATATAGAGTTTTGGGGGCTTTAAATTTTTGTGGGAGCAGCATGCCTCATCTTTCACCCGTAGAGTGGTTGATGGGCTCGAACCACCCATCTTGTGGTTCAAAGTCCAGTGCTTATAGCAACTCTACATAGGTTTCCCTTTATGGGAACAGACAGGTAACAGGTAGCCTCATCTATCTCTTGAGGAGCGGCTGGTGGCTTTGAACTGTCAAATTTGTGGTTCACAGCCCCAGTGCCTAACCCATAGCACCACCAGGCTCAGGAAGGGGAAGCAAATATCTCTGGACTTCATCTCCATAAGTTTCTCTCTAGTTTATTCCATCTCTGTGTGCTCTCAGTCTGTTTCTCTGTCCCCGTATGTCCAGTCCCATTCTTTAAGTCTCTCTCCAGTTCCCTCCTTGCACAGCTTCTTCCTTCACACCAACATCATTCCCTACTCCCCCGCTAGGTTGCAGGGGGTGTGAGGATGTCCCATGATCTGCCTACCACTCAGTCCAAGAAATCCCCAAAGGAATCTAGGAATCCTGTGGGGGGGGGGGGGACGGATTGAGCTATTGAGGGAAGGTTCTGGAAGGCAGGGCAGAAACCAACGCCCAGCAGTCTTCCCAGCACTTTCCACCTCTCCATTTTCACTCCCCTCCCCCAGCCCCACCCAGCAGATGGGAAAGAGCCCTAGGGCAGAGGCTGGATGAAGAGTGGAAAGTCATGTGCAGACAAGTAGATCCAGAACCTCTCAGACTCTTTCCCAACCCCCTCACCAGACACCCAGAGGCACCACGTGGTTCAGGGGAGCTCAGACCTCTGAGGAGACCCTGGATGGTACAAACTGTTACCATGCTCAGCTGCTAACCCAAAGGTGTCTCGGAAGAAAGACTTGGCAATCTACTTTTAGAAAAGTTGGCCACTGAAAACCTATGGAGCACAGTTCTACTCTAATGCACATAGGGTCCTCTGAGTTGAAAGCCACTCAAAGGCAACTGATTTTGTGTCTCTGAACACCAGCAATGAGGTGGAAGCTGCAAGCACTCCCATTTTGCAGAGGAGACAATAAGGCTCAGAGAGGGACAGCAAAATCACACAGCAAAGAAGTAACCAGGATCTGTCTTATCATTGTGACAATAGACAAAACAATATAGGTTATAACACTATTACTTTAGACTCGGGAATGGTTGTTTCCATGAATGATTGACACGGTTATTCCTTAAAAGTAAGGGTTTCCCTGTACACAAGGTTAACAGGGCAACCTAAAATGGGGCGGGGGGGGGGGGGGCTGTAAAGGTACAAAGTGACTGGCTTACAAGTTTTCAAGAAGGAGTTTAGATTCAGAGTGTGCAGGACAAGGTAGAATCCCATTGAGTGGTTTTCTTACTGTCTAGACAGTAAGAAGCTGTCTAGACAGTAAGGTTTAAGGACCTCTGGTAGCATTATGAATCGGGCTGCTAATCTCACAGTCAGCAGTTCGAAACTACCAGCTGTTCCACAAGAGAAAGAAGAGGCTTTCTGCTCCCATAAAGATTTACGGTCTCAGAAACCCTGTACCGGGTCACTATGAGTTGGATCCAACTCCACGATACTTAACAACAACAACAGACAGGTCTGGTGAAAGGAGATGGAGACAAGACTCTCATGATTCAATAGTAATTCCTATCAAGACTAATTGCTATTGTCACAAATGTAAAGGTAGAAGTTTTGTAGTAAAAAGGGGCGAGTGGTCGATCTTACAGTCCCGGTGTGGAGGACCCTGGGAACATCAAGGGAGAAGAGCAGAAGCAGAATGTGGGACCCTACCCAGAGAAGTGGGGACTCCAGAGATGGAGGCAGAGATGATGACGTGGAGAAACAGAGCAGCTGAGGTTTCTAGACTCGTGGAGAGAGAGGGGATGTGTGCTGGCAGCTGGGCGGCAGGTTTGCAGGGTATACCCTTTGGCTGTTTGAATACTGTATATTCCTGAGAGTTTGGGTGCACATCTAAAAACAAAAACAAAAAACAGAGGGAATAGGAGCAAATGCTGTGGAATGATGAAGCATGCAGGGGATTGTAATCATTGCAATGAAACAAATACATAGGATGAGTTTAAAACTGATATTCCCCTATGTAAACTATCACTTAATACACAATAAAAACTTTTTTTTTTTTTAAGTAAGAGTTTCCTTAGATTTTTTTGTTTCTATTCTATACTTTGCAACTGTCTCCCAATGACTCATCTTTTATACTGTGTTTTTTCACTCTGGCTTGATATTTCAACACAAGCAATCAGCCAGCACAGTCCCAACTTGCCTTTGGTGATCGGCCAAATTTTTGCATTCAATATGAAACCTCACTTATTTCTTGTAACTTGAATAAATAAATACATCCTTGATTCTTATTCACTTATGTTTATTATCTTTTTATCACTTTTAAAGTAATACTTCCATAAGCACTTTATTCCTTTCACAGGAATTAACTAATATATTTATTTCCCAATATGCTTTTTAAATTGATGTATGCTGTTGTTGTTGTTGTTAGACTCATAGTAACCCTATGCACAACAGAATGAAACACTGCCCAGTTCTGTGCCTTCTTCACAATTGTAACACTTAAGCCCATTGCTGCTGTCAGTGTACCAATCCATTTCATTGGAGGTCTTCCTCTTTTTCACTGACACTCTGCTTTACCAAGCATGGTCCTTCACTAGGGACTGGTCCCTCCATAATATACCTGAAATATGGGAGAAGTCTCCCCATCCTACCCTTGTAAGGAGCATTCTAGCTGTACTTCTTCCAACACTGATTTATTTGTTTTTCTAGCAGTCCATGGTACTTCTAATATTCTTCTCCAGTAACTCACATTAAATAAAATGTACAGATTTGAACAGAATAATTTGGGTGTCAGAGTAGAAATGTGTTCCATAGGATTTTCACGTTTTCAATGACTGAGTTTTCAGAAGTAAATCAGCAGGCCTATCTTCCAAGGTACCTCTCTAGATGGAGTCTAGACTCGAACCTCTAATCTTTCAGTTAGCAGCCAAATGACCTATCTGCACCACCGAAGAAGTCCAATGTTGTTAGTCACCTTCAAGTTGTTTCCAACTCATGGAGACCCCACGTATACAGGGTAGCACTGCTCCATAGGGTATTCAAGTCTATCACCTTTGGGAAGCAGTTGGTCAGTCTATCTTTCAAGGCATCTTTGGATGGGTTCGAACTGCCAACCCTTTGGCTAGTTAGTACTCAAGAGTTTATCCTTTTGTACCACCTGTAGAATCTGACCTGAGTCCTGGTGTGGTTCAATGGGCTAATGCGTCAGACTGCAAAGTCGTTTGAACTGCAAGATCGGTGGTTCAAGTTTTCCAGATACACAGGGTCGCTCTAGGTCGGAATCAACTCTACGGCACTTAACAACAACAACATC